TCATGGAGCACCTCATTTTACTGAGATGGACATGTTGTTGCATGCCGTGAGACGATTCAGAGTTTTCACATGGAAGACCTTTTATACTGGATTCTTTTAGGGCAACAGCAGGACTGCCATAACTGGTTGGGCCACTACACTCAGTTCTCTAGTGTGATTTGGGATCCCAGAGCTGTGCAGCTGTGATCTGAGGGTGGATGTTCACTGATGCCATGTCTTCGGTAGCTGTTTCATTAGTTTTCTTCAGGTGTCCCTTCAAGGGCATTTGTAGAGTTTTAACTATCTTTCCTTTCTTTCCCAGCACCCATGTCAAGGCAACCTTTGGGGGCACCTTCAGGATCATCACTGGGTAGTCAGTCCAACCTTCCAAGTTCTCAGGCTCATCAGGGTTCACAGCCTCTGGTCTCTACTCCTTCTGTCCCAGTGTCCTCTTCTACTCCTCAGCAGGAGCTTCAAGCAAAAATCCTCAGTCTCTTCAACAGTGGGGCGGCAGCGGCGGCAGCAGCTGCTGTGGCAAACAGTGGTCCTGCAGCCTCCACGGGCTCTTCAGGCAGCACTCCCAACCAGAACTTTGCTAACCTGGCTGGTGGGCAGCCCCGGCCAGCACAGATGAATGCTGGAAATTTAAACCAGCCTCAGCAGAGATTGCAGACTCCAAACACGCAGATTCCTGCTCTCCCGGGCCCTTCGAGAAACGCAGGTCCGAGACCTGGAGCTCCTCCACAACCTCAGCCGCTCTATGGTCAGCACCAAACCCGCCTCCCTGCACCTGGCAATGTGCCCGCCCAAAGGCCGGTGTCTTCTGGTATCAACTTTGACAACCCCAGTGTACAGAAAGCCTTGGACACCCTTATCCAGAGTGGTCCTGCACTCTCCCATCTTGTGAGCCAAACCGTGGCCCAGGGGCGAGGGGGGTCTTCAGCCCAGCAACCGATGGGTGCCTACCAGCGACACTATTAGAGCTGAGCTGTTGGGCCCATTCCCCTTCCCTTTGCCATTCCATACTTATAGCTGTTTAAGGAGTCTCCCATCCTTGACCCGGGACAGATGCCCTGGACATGCATGTCCTCTCCACTCTGGCAAGAGCATACCCCCTGCAGCATTGCTGCCAACGGTTGTTGGCGCTGCCCTCCCTCTCCTTGGTCTGGTTAGCAATGTTTGGAGCAGAATGCTCAGTTTTCTCCACAGCACAATGTGCTGTGAACTGTGTTGGATCATTGGTTGTCTTGTCCCATCCCAGAAGCTGCTGCAGTATCAGTCCTGCTGCATTTTCCTTACTCCCAGCACCTGGTGCACCTTCCCACTGAGGTGCAGTCTGGGCTCACTGATTGGTCTTGGTGTAGTTTTGGATCGTTGGTTTTGGTGAATTAGGGGACTGAACAGAGCAGCAAATTGATGGGCCTTGGACACCCACCACTGTGGAATGGGCACTACCCTTCTTTGGATTTCGTTGTTTTTTTGGGGTTTTTTTCCATTGTAATAGCATATAAGCCATTTGGAAAGTCCAGTGATAGTGCTGGCAGCCAAAATCATGAAGCACATGCCTGACCACTGCTCAGTAACCAGGACTGTGCAGTCCATCTGCACATCCATGTCCAGGCAGAGAGGCCGGTGTTCCTCACCTCAACCCATTCAGAGACTGGCAGCTGTGGGCTGAGCACACATCTGCAACGCAAGAACTTCCAGCCAAGGCTGAGATTTCAAATAATCTGTCAATTTTCCTACCTTGAGTAATCAGTGTTAAGACCAACCTGGTAAATCTGGTGTATAAATTTTCTTTTCTTACAGTCTTTGGCACGGTTATTAGTGCACCTTAGCTGCAGCCACACTGATGTGCTGCTGGCTCTCCCTGGGAATACCTCTCACCAGGTACTGGGGGGCAGTGCTGCTCTATCTGACCTCTTCTTGCTGTTGATGGAAGTTCAGTCCATCTGAGGTGGAGAGACAGTGCCAAGTTTTAATACCATAATTTTAAACCTTTTTTCAACACTTTGGTAGCTGCAGCGGACAGTGGAATGGTAAATCAGGCAGTGATTCCTCACTGTATTTTTACTGGGAGCATACTTTGATACCAGAACACAAAACATCACTTAACTGTGTGGTCCTCCCCGTCATGGCCTTCTTGGAGTCTGTGGGCTTCCTGCAGGGAACTGGGAGATACTAAGAAAGCAGTGGATTGAAGCAGAGGATTTTCTTTGTCCCAGGTGGTTTGTGTTGTAGCATTTCTTTTATCTCTGTGCTGTTAACAAGAGGACATTACTTTCTAATAAAAGTCCAGAAAAATTAGTTGTTGCATTTTTTGACACTTGAATACTCTCAGAATACATCATTCCACTTACTATGTTTGCTGTTACTCTCCTCTCCTGGATAAGCTGTGCTGGAAGCTCCACACTGGATGCTGAGAGGAATGTGTATGGACCTCACAGGTCCTGACGCTTGCACAGCACTGGGGTGGCCTCAGGTCAGGAGATGTGGTGTGGCACGGCCGATGTGAGAGGTCCAAAACCTCTGTGGTGACAGGCGGTGGGAGGGACAGGTCCAGCTCAGAGCCAAAAGCCAGCATCAGGTCAAGGCTGCAGGTCCCTGTGCTTTCAGCACTGCTGTCCCATGGCTTCATGCTACCATCAGCCCACGGGATGAGTCTGGACAGCAGTGTGTCTGTGCTGTCTCTACTCCTGTTGGATCCCTTTCTCCACCTCTACAATCCTGCAGCCAGGTAGAGTGCTTTCGGTGGCGTGACCAGAAATCTTTGTGAGGTGAAATGTGGGAACTGCATCCCTTTGGAGAGGAGATCCTCTCCTTGTGCTTTGCTTCCTGCAAATCTGCACTTTGTCAGGGCTTGCTCCATGTTGTGGAAATGGTGCAGAATAGCTGTGGAGACCTGGAAGCAAGTGAAAAGTCCCCGTGCAAGTAGTGAAGGGTGTAATAAAATCATTTATTGCATTTTGTGCAGACAGGAGTCTAAAAAAATGAATACAGGTAAAGCAGTAAAGCAATAACAGGGAGCATTCAACAGCTGAGGAGCCACTCCTCCATGAACACCTGCACAGAGAACACGGGGTCTGCACCGAGGCGGCCTAATGCACAACACTGAAACACACAGAAATTAAATGCAAGCCTAATAGGGGTTGTTTTTTTTTTGGTTTGCAACCTGTTTTATTTACAAGGTTTTAAACTTAATTGCATTGCTCTGCACACAGATTCTCTAAAACACAAAGCATTCTAGGTCACTACATGTCTATTGAAATATTGCACTCGAATAAAAGTCACTTGAATGGACAGAGAACATCTAGCTACAGTGATTTTTAAAAGAGTATTGAATGAACCGACTTTGTGATAACATTCATAACAAATATATTGCACATGTAGCACAGAAAGTGTTGTAACCAGCAGATCTCAGACCTTTCGGTCTTTCTGCTAGTTTTTAATCCTGCTACACAGAGGAGGGTCTTGACTCTTCTAGTGCAACTCTTGCCCTTGTGCAGTCTCTTGTCCTTCCTCTTGTCCAGCCACAGACCAGCACCTGCCCAGGCTGGATGTTGCCTGTGTCTCCTGTCCCTGCTGCCCTGTGGCTTGCTGCCTGTGTTGCGTGGTGGCCACAGTGACCTGAGCTGCCCTCCACAGTGACCTGAGCTGCCCACTGCCACACTCCCAGGGGCCGGGGCTGCTTGGGCCTCTTGCAGTAGGGACTGGAGCACTTGCCACCAGTGCTGTGTGCTGGCCCAACACTCCCTGCTGGCTGTGGCCACACTCCAGCCCACCCTCCCGTGGGTTGTGCTGCTCTAGCAGCAGCCTGCCTGTAAAACAAACTGGGGGGTCAAGACCTTCCTGTCTGGAACAAAAACCGGACCGTGTCTGCGCATGTGCCAAGGAGGAACTTGCATGTCTACCAGAGGAGGACACTGTCTTCACCACGGTGGAGCGGCAGAAGGGTGCTCCATGGGGAAACTGAACACTCACAGAGGCCAAACGTGCAGGGCTGGGTTTGTAAACTAACATGCAGTGCTGTCTGCTAAAACTGGCCCTCTCCAGCCGACGGCGAGGGGACATGCTGTGGAAACCAGCTCCTGTCTTGCCACAGCCAAACTGCCTGGCAGGGGTGTGGGAGCAGCCCTGACTCTGTCCAGAGCTGTGCCCCTGCTCTTGCTGAAGGATGGGGAAGGGGAATGCCTTTTTTCAGCAGTAGTGATGAAAAGGAATGGCCTTCCTAGTCCCTGGCAGAGCCAAGACCATGGCTTTGCCATCAGGGTGGAAGTGATGCTGAGGGGAACAGGATCCACTGGTGGTGCTGGGGGGATGAAGCAAACCTGTCAGAAATGTGCCCTGGCTGCTCTCACCACTGCTCTGCAAATGTCATTCCTGGCTGCCCTGTACCTGCAGCCAACAGAAGAGCCTGTCATCTGATGCTGTGAGGGTGGGTGCTGTCTGCAGGCTCAGCAGAGGCTGTGCATAACCTGCCTCTCCCTTCTGCCCTGCGCCATGTGCCAGGGCAGGAGGGGACCTTGCTGGCTGCCTCAGGCCCAGCAGCACAGGGGGCAGCAGCCAAGCTGCAATTAGAGGGCAACTGCAAGGAGCGAGTGGCATCTTGTGAAGAGGCAGAGCAGCTGGCAAGTGCTCGAGCCCCAACAACATGGTGCTAACACATGAGCTGTGTGGGCAGGATGCTGTGCCTCCCCCGCTGCTGCTGAAGTGCCTCAGATAATTTTGGGAGGCTAGAAACGGCCCATGAGCTTGTGTGTGGTGGTACAGGGCCAGTTCCAAGGGGCAGAGCAGCTAGACACTGGCAAATGCTGGTTCCCATGGGCTGCCCTTCCCAAAACTAAAGGAACTTTTCACTTGCAGACCCCTACCTGCTCTTCTCACAGCTCCCAGGCCGCTGAGGCAGCAGCAGGACTGGAAAGTGCTACCCTGTGCATCTGCACCACTCGTCAGCCCCGAGCTCCTGTGCTGAAGCCAGCGCCCAACTCGGCCTGACATTCCCCCCGTAAATGCTGAGCTCCTCATGCCTGTGGGAGCGGCTTCCACAGCAGCGTCTGGGACACAGACCTGCAGCCACACAGGCAGCCAAGCTACCCTGGCAGAAAGTCTGGCTGTGACTGGGACTACTCCTGGAGAGAAGGGAGGCACTTCGGGAGTGATGGAAATGTAGGAGCAAGGTATGAGCAGGCACAAATGTGCAGCTGGGGCTTGGTTTTGGTCTAGGAGTGTGTCCAAGTAGTATCTCTATAGCAAAAAAAAACCCAACATCAAAAAACCCACTGCCTTTTATCCAAGCATCCCCAAATAGCTTTGGCCTGGACCTGGAGTAGAGGAGCTCTGAAAGGGAGCAGGGGCTGGAGTGGCTGGTGCAGGGGGGAGTTTCCTGTTCTCAGGGAGGCAGGAGCCAAGGTTAGCAGGGGGTCGGGTGGGCAGGGAGCTGGGACCCATCAGGGCTGCCTGTGCCAGGCAGGAGGGCAGCTGATGCCTGGATGGACACCCGTGGGGATGCTGTAGCAGCACCCGCTCCCCCTGCTGCAGTGTAGAGCGGCACTGGGGAGCATCTGGAGGGGCTGAGGGGGCGAGTGCTTCAGCACAGGGGCTCAGCTCTGGCCAGGGACAAAGTGCTGCCCCAGGGCCCAGGCTGGCACAAAGCCACCAGCGCTGCCGGGAGAGGGCAACTCTTAGCAGGCTGCACTTTGAGTGGAAGCTCAAATCTGCTGTGAAACAAGTTCAGAAAAGTCTGTGACTTCTTTTCCCTGAAAACTCTTAAGAAGCTAAATTGAGAAGAGAATAAACCTGCGACCTGGCCCTTTCCCAGGGGCTTCTGGTGGCCGGGGAAGGCTGCAGCCTCCACCACCACTCCGGAGCGCTCGGTGCGACGGATGGGCTCCCGGTTTGTGCAGGAGCAGCCCAGCTCAGCTCCCTGTCCCTGCGGCCTGGTGCTAGCAGAGCCCTGCATCTCTCAGAATAGATATAGATCTCTATATATAGACTTCATCTGGTTCTATTAACATAAATATGATCACTTTAAAAATACACGTACTGTATTATGTACACTATGTACATGGGGCTGGGGCGGGCGCCAGCGGCACCCTGCTGCCCTCGCACCGCTTCCTGCGTGGTTCCTGGAACCGTTCACATTTGTTAAAAGCGCCTCAGTTTCTCTTCTGTGAGAGATGCTGGGGGTGGG